ATACCACAATGCAATGCTTGATTGCATTGTAATAATTATAAATGTAGGATTTAAAAAAAATCTAATTGGATAAAATATTGTGATTTAGATAGATTCAAATTAACATTATATTTCAGATTGATATTTTTTTGTGACAAATTCTTTAATAAAATTGATCAATAAGTATAAAAAAATGAATCAAATATATATTTAATCTATGCACTATTTATAACATTATGCATCAAGTAAACTTGGTTGAAAATGATCTTTAAATTCAATGCATCCTATATAAAAATAATTCTTCAATTAGCATGATCGATATTTGAGTTAAAGTTAACTATGATAAAATGTAGTCATAGAAGTATAAATTGAGTGATATATTTATAATGCAATTTGATTTAAAAACAAGATCTTCAAGTCTCAAACTTACATAATTTCGCATTAATATTTACAATGGACGTTTATTCTTTGCACTTTTTAAATGATAACAGTAATGAAAGATAATTTCTTATTTGTAAAAAATATTCTTTTGCATGTTGAAAATTTACTTCTTTTATGAACTCTTATTTTTTCAATACATCCATAGCAACACATAAAGCATCCAATCAAAAATCTACAAAATATAGTTCGTTATTTTCAATATGATTGTTTTTTTCCCACTGTATGCTTAGATAAGATAACAAGATCTTATTTTAAAAATAATTCTTGTTGTATACTTATTGTCATGATGATCAAATCCAACAATCATTTGTAATGATTGTAAAATTAATATGTATATATATTTAACCATCATGTTTTTTTATTACTAAATACATACATATCACGAGTTTTCACAAATTTCTCAACATATCAATGTATCTCTTTGATGCTCCATAAAAATTAGTATGGCGGCCATAAGCTCTTACAAAATGTCTTTCTTAAGATTTTTTTTCCTTGCTTTCACAAATTATATGAGGTGGGGTCTCAACATCTGTACTGAATTTTTCACAAATATATATTTACCAACATGTAGTTACATGCTTAATTTTTCTTATTGGCTTAAAATATTTTCAAATCAAACTCTTTTGTCTTGTAAAAAAGCAAGGCCGACTTCAATATATCATTTAATTCTAAAAACGGCTGTAAATTTTTATATAATATTTTGAAGATAATCATAAATTTTTTATGTTTTAATAATTATGAATCATTTAAAAATTTTTTGTATTTATTCTTTGGAAATATGTTCATCATCTTTTTCAAACACTTTTTATTTGTAAATTTCAAGTTTAAATACTCAATTTTAGCTATCCACCTTACTTTTGCAATTGATGATCATCCCTAAATGCCAAAAAATTTGTTTCAACAATTACTTGAGGTAAAAAAATAAAACAAAATTGTCACGACTACTTGGATGTGACAACTTTTCACACATTTTCTAATAACTCAAAGGAATTTTAAACTTATTTCACTCAACTACTATGCTCCAAGTCTGAAAGCATACTTGCTTCTTCAATTGTAATCTTTATCTTCTTTCATGTTACATTTGATAGCAATTAGATTACATTGATTTCTCCTCATGATATTAATGTTTTCACCGAAGACAGAGGTGTAGACTTATTTCTCATTAGCAATATGTCTGCTTTCAAATGTATTTCGTTCATGCAAAGCCGGGTTTGCTGTATGCCAATTTTGCTCATGCAATCTCATTTGAGTCGTGAAATATTTGATAAATTGTGATACCATAGACACTAATTGATGTATGCAAGCATATTTGTGAACTAGAAATGAAATAATGTAAATCACTTCTAATTAGTGGCAACAGCGATCCTATTTTTTATATGTATTGAGCAAAGTTTCATTTTAACAAATACCTGTAGCGATTGTTACAAACTTTTCCACAAGAGTTAATATGCGAAGATAGATGTAAGTAATTTTCTGCCTCGGAAAGAATAATTTAAAGATGTATATTACATGTGGTTGGAATAGTATTTTCATAAAATAATTTTTTATTTTGTTCTCTTCATCCAATTGAATTGAGGTTTAATACTGAAATATCATCATACAATTCAAGTAACAAATAAGTTTATCTTCATAATGGCGTGTGAAATAATCATATCATAATCATGTCAATTTAATGTACTTGAGAGTAAGTCAATGACTGGTCAAATTTGAATGATTTAACCATGAAAATACTCTCATTATTTGTTGTATGCTCCTCATTGCTTTTGTTTGAAAAGGTATCAATTAGGAATATGGAGTCACTAATCTCATCAGTTGAAGGATGTCATTAAGCATATTTATGTTTTTGCGGAGGTAATACTCGCAGAGATCCACCATTTATTTGTGTGTCGACTTTGTTGAGAATGATTATCATTGTATATTTAGTGATAAAGATGACGAAACAGATGCCATGAAGAGTTGTGAAGATAACTGGCGCAAATTATGCAAGTTGAAAAATAAGCTGAACGGTTTTTGTGATAAGATCTTATCACGAATGTACAAATTTTTCTTTCAAGAAGATTTGTTTTTCTGAGGGGGCCCATGTGTGTGATTTTATTTTTTATAAAAGATAAAATATAAATATAAATATATGAATTATGGAAATTTTGTTGGTAAGTTCATAGACATTTAAGGCAACGGATGATCACTGGTTACCCAACCGATATTTTCACATAGTAAACATTTCGGTATCCTGGAATTGGCCACGGTATAATCCAGTTGGCCTTGGCTTGCAACTGTCACCTTTCGTAGCAAACACCAGCAACACTGACACCATCTTACTTACTTGTAGCAGAAGTACACTTCATAATACTGCCCTAACTGAGGTCTACGAGATTGGTATAGACAGTAAGCGGCGAGGCGTAGAGTCGTAAGGAACGAAGGCCGAAACCACCGAGACTGAAATGATGTACATCCCTTCCAGCCTTACCGCTTTTCGGCATCCCGTGATGAGACGCCCTAAATTTTATTGGGGACCAACCTCTCCCGTGATTTTGTTGGGTCAATATCTTCGTTTCTTTATTTTATTAATCGAATTTAAATAGTAAACCAAAGAAAATGCGTTCTTTACATGTACCCCACACGTGTTTTCACAGCCATTAAGTTGTATGGAAATTTCCCATTGCCTTATATTTATGTATTATCTATTCTGAAAACCTTTGTCTCCTAATTTGTCGTTGAGCACACTGATTGGATAACATAACGACTTCCGGATTCTTTATAAAAAATCCCAGTATTGTCTCTTGGCGTTGAAAGCAAATGACTGTACCAAGTAAAGTCCTCTGAACATTTCAGTAGCCGTACCAAGGTTTTATTTTAATACGATAGCAATCGTTTTTGTTGAAGTACTTCGATGATTTGTTCGTAGCATGATCGAAAACATTTTCTTTCATCTGGTGCGATATATCGGAACGTTTGTATAAAACTCTCCTCGCTTTCTGTCCCTGCCAAATTGCAAATATTGGATGATTACTTTAAAAAACTTCGAAAAGACTTCGTGAAACTCTAATAGCTCCTCAAAACCAAAGCTTGGATTGTAGGAAGATATCTGACAGGACTTTCTTTCATTCTTCTGCATGGCAGTGACACGGCAGTACATGAGCAGAACAACAGTATTTATACCCCATCATTTCAACATGCTCGCGAAAACTTAAAGTACAAGCATGTCTACGGACACACATACCTTTCTTGCTCTAAGACCTGTGAGTGTTTGTACAGACTCGGATGGAGCTTATACTATAAGCTGTTTCGAAAATATCTGTGGAAAAGGAGAATGCTTCACAAAGCATAAGAAAGCAATTGCTAAGACAGTCCTCTACTTGAAAACCATGTCCACTTCTTCATGCATACTGTACATACAACTTTCCGTGAACCATAAAGACCACATTGATATTGATGAATCTAACTCCGAGATGATACAAGTCTGCAGCGAAGAGGATAATGAGGGGGAGCAAGTAAGAAGACTCCATCAAGAAGTACATGGATGTAACTAAACTGGGAATCTTAATGACACCAGTCAGTCCAGAGCACAAAGATATCAAGGAGTTCCCTTTTCCTCCGATGTGTGTACACGGGATAACTCCCCGTCATTAGCCCTTCTAAGCAGATCGAATGTCTTTAAACGTCAAACTCTCCAGTGAGAATCTTCCTGCACGTTTCTTACCGTGTGGGAAGATTTGAAAGCACACTTGTGAGCCCGTCTTCAAGCAACCATGTGGCTTGTTTGCAGGCAGACTGGATTGTACTGATCCCCGAAATGCACAATGCATTTGTGCTTGCATTTGTGGAGCTTTGTCCTGATGCGTACAAGTAATAAAGAAATGACGTTCTCTCACATGCAATACGGAGCTCAATGAGGAACACAACACATACTCTGCAGCATATCACAGGTCATTGTCCGTTTCCTGTTTTTAACGTGAGATAAAGTTTTTTAGAGCTCTCTTAAGTTAGCCGAATGCGGCTCTGATACTGCTGCGGTAAAATATGAACTGACGGCTTTAACTTTTTAATGAGGAGAATGGTGATCCAAGAGGAGCATGCTTGAACAGCCATCAATCGAAGTGACTTGAAGATAGATTGTTACGACTTAAAGCACCAAAGGAGCACCACTTTATTTTTATCCATGAACCCGAGGTGCTTGTATCTACAACTGCATGATGAGGTCTCGCAAACTCCCTAGATGAAGATAAATAGTCTTCAGAGAATGAAATAACCTTTTTGTCGATTTATGGGGAAAAAAAAAATAGGCAAAGCGAAGTGACAGCCATGAAATGGCTCATCAAATGAGCGCTTTTCGTCAGCGATGAATTTCCACCCGCTTTCGGCACCATACCGGATGACATCCCATGGCATACGGGCCAATCGCGCATGTGCGGGTCCGACATACATCTACATGAGCACCGCCATACATATATGCACATGCACGGGCATGAGATGCCATGCGCTGGCGTCCAAGAGGGCTCTGTAGCTGAGAGTGACGGGGACACCTCACACTGCTGTCTACGTTTTCTCTCCCGTCGGGTCATTGTGGTTGTGTGTGTGGGTGCGTCTGGCGCAGTGTCCGAGCATCTCATCTCGCGCTCTCTCTTCTCTTTCGGAGTCGTGGGGGCCGGGCGGCCATAGCAAATTGGCTCCCGAGCTCTTTTGTTCATGAAATCCGGGAGTGTTGGGTTGTAGTATCTTGTGGGCATTTCAGATTGTGCGGGGCTTACATTATTTGCGCTCCGATATTAGCTGCGGGTCGAATCTTTAGTATAGTTGAGTTTGTGTCTGGCTCGCGCCGAGAGTTCGTGCGAGCTTGGTTATCGGTGTCGTCAAGCGTGGGCCGAAGAGCAAGGGGTTGGTGTAGCGTTTTGCGCGTTTGTAGGCGTGTAGCACAGTAGTACTGTTGTCATATTCCTCCCTGCCTCGTTCTTCAATGCTCTGCGCTCTTTGTTCTTTTCTTGAATCGTCGTAGACTGTTATCGCCCGCCCCTCCGCGCGCTCGCCCTCTTTCTTTTGACTCGGCTGTGAGACGTGCGAGTTTGCAGTGATCGTTCAGTGTAGGTGTGCAGTTCAGTGTACTTCTTTTTGTGCGGGTTACAGTTTTGATTCACTTCACGGCGTGTCTCCTGTTCTGTGGGGTTCAATTCCGGCGCAGATGTACTCTCTCATTGTTCTGAACTAGCTGTCAACTGCTTGTGCGCCTATGTGTCCGTGGGGCTGAAAGTTGGACTGCATTGTTCGCCTCTGTGGTTTAGATAGTACGACAGCAATTTCCTTCGTTGGTCCTGCCCCAAGCCGTTATTTGGTCACTTCTTTATCGTGGTTCTTGTCCCGCGCCTTGGGAAGAATGTATTTCAATGAGCTAGTTGGCATCCTTTTTGCCAATGGAGGGCTTTGAGCTACACTCCTCTCGTAACTGACTTTTCCTTTCTAACTTTTCCGTCACAATTACCTTCTGCAGTTCTCCAGCGGACTTCTGGCCCTAAGCCCGTCCAAACTCCGTACTGTCTTCGTCTAGTGAAACGCCTGTAGATTGTGAATAGCTCTGTACTCAACGTTTTCTTCACTCTGTCTGACCCCGTTCTCTCATTTGATCGCGTATCTAAGCAGTGTTGCACGTGGTTCGGTTACAAATCTTAGTTACAGCAATCTCTTGAGGCATCTCTCCCAAGTAACAAGACAAATGACACTATAACAGAGGGGGAAGACTAATAGTTTTTCAGTCAAGATGTTTCCCATGGGAGAGATGGAGGGAACGGGGGACAGTTATAGTGAGATAATGCAGAGATTGCAGTCATCATTAGCAGCATCGTCTTTCCCGAAGTCGAACGCCAACTCTCTTCCTCTTCCACAGGTTCCATCTCATACTCTGTCGAACTCGCAGGCAACCTTGTCTCAATCTCAAAGCCTCTTTCAGTCCCAGTCGCACAGTCTGTCACAAACTCCGAGCTCCTTTGCCAAAACATCTCCTTTCTTACACACTCAATCCAAGTCTCAGGCTCATCCTTCCCGCTCCCTCTCACAGCCACTGTCCCAAACGCACACTGCTCCTCATGCTCCCACCCATTCTCGCTCAATGTCACAGCCGTCTATCCGATCTCACATGCCGCCACTTCAGTCGCAAACTCCGCCTGTTCATGCTCACTCTCAGCATTCCCCTCACTCCCTATCTCAGCCGGCTTCTCAGTCTCCACATTCCTCTCTCCCTCTTCCGCAAGTCACACCTCGATTCCCATCGACCTCGCAAGCCTCTCCTCCTACCCTTCATACTCGTTCCCTCTCCCAGCCAACCATTCTCAATCAGACCTCCTCTGGCGGACCACTTTCGCCACCCTCAATGGGTCATCTTCCTCCTCCCAATTCCATGTCTCATTCTCTGTTCGCCAGCTTCAACAGTCTCACACCCAATTATCCCGTGAAGAAAGAAGCGTCGCAGTCTCTTTCGGACTCATCCGCGAGAACCACCGTGTCGCTTGATGTCACCATGGAGGAGAGTTCACCTTGCCCTCCTGCAGGGAGCGGACCTTCTTCTTCGAAACCCCTTTCCCCACCTTTGAATCCTTTTCATACCATGAGTCAAAGGTACAGCAATGATCTGAGCCAAATGCCGGACAGTCCTCCTAAGCGACGGGGGCATCGAAGGGCTCAAAGTGAAATTGCATTTCGACAGGGCTCTTCCTTCGAGAAAGAATTAAGAGACGAAAGCAGGGACTTTGACAGGGATTCTGTGAAGGAGTCGGATATGGAAAGGGAGCTCAATCAAGGTCGAGTGGATCTGGACGAGGATATGGACAGGGCTACCAGTTGGGGTAGGGAGAGGCACAGAGATAGGGAAGGAGAAGGAGAAGGTGCAGAAGATCTTTTCTCTATGTACATCGATATGGAGAAGATCAACAGTTTCAGCAACTCTGGAGCAGGCGATGGTGGGGACAGTGATAGAGAGAAGCCGATGAGCAGGGTAGACGCTGGCAAAGATCGGCTCAAAACACTTGCCGAGAATGAGAAACCAACCTCTGGAAGTGTGGATGAGAATCAGCGAGATCGCTCCCGTGGGCCTGTAGAAGGTGACAAGGAGAGGAGCAGAGAAAGTTGGATGAAAACTGTCTCTGATAACGATCGAGAAGGCAGAAACACACCCGCAACCGAAGAGGAGAAAGGTGACAAGAACCGGGTAGATGAGTTGAGAACCAGTGAGAAACAAAAGGAGAAGGATGATCAAGAGATGTCCAAAGGTTCCGAAAGAGAGAACTGGTCCAGAAAGGATGAAGAAGACGATAAGGAAACTTCAAGTATGTGTGTCGAGAATGAGGGTGGCAAGGACAGATCAGATAATGAGCGAGAGAAGGGTAAGCTTGACAGAAGCTCGCCCAGTGGTGCCACTCACCACTCACGGAGCGTTTCCATGGATGGGTTCCTGAGCAACTTACAAGGATACAAGGCTGGTGACGCTGGCCATCTTTCCTCTTTCTCTGAAGATCGGAGGAGTAGACAGACTAGACATCATCACAGCATGTCCATGGACGGTAGTATGAGCCTGAAGATGGAATTTGGGCAAGGAGAGTTTGAGGGTATCGAGTTAAAGAAGGCCATGGCCAGTGACAAGCTAGCAGACCTTGCTCTGGTCGATCCCAAGCGGGCTAAGAGGTAAATCTGGAGGGATATCAAATATCTCGCATTGCCTATCCTTGCCTTGATAAGACTAGGTGTTAGATCTCCCTTTACATTTAGTCCCTTCAGAATACGTTTCGCTGCAGCAACGGGCAGTCCAAGAGATGGAAGAATGACTAATGTGTTTTTATGTTGATTCATTTGTGCAGGATCTTGGCTAACCGGCAGTCGGCAGCACGCTCGAAAGAACGTAAGATGAGATATATATCTGAACTTGAGCGGAAGGTGCAGACTTTGCAAACGGAGGCGACAACACTATCCGCCCAACTCACAATGCTACAGGTAAGGGGCGTTGCGAGTACTATCTTAAAATTTTAATTCATGGGAACAACTACTGGAGTTGAATAAAGAGAGTCGCCTAGTACGTTCTTGATTGCCGTCTTCTTGTTTCTTCATGCTGTTGAGCTGCCCAATCGAAGAAAGTTGACCCCCCAGTGCAATATGCAGAGAGACTCTACCGGGCTCACAACAGAAAATAGCGAACTAAAGCTTAGGTTGTCAGCAATGGAACAACAAGCACAACTTCGCGATGGTAAGGTTCTCTCTCAAGTCTAAAGCCACGACCTCACTCTCGAGAAAAATGGGTTTGACTTGTCTATTAACTCTGAATCCGAACTCTTGATTTGCGATGAGTTTGTTCAACTTTAACTCAAGTTACAGTGGAGTAATTGTCGTTTCATTGCATCGGTATTTTTACTTTAGTGCATCAGAGTAAATCGAAGCCTAATTTCAGTGAATATTTGGACAATTGCAACTTTTGTCTTCCTACTGCTGACACTGTTTTTCTATGCGGGACTACAGCTCTTAATGATGCATTGCGAGAGGAAGTTCAACGGTTGAAGCTAGCAACTGGACAACTTTCAAATGGACAGGGAATGAGCTTGGGGCAGCAAATGGGTGTCAATCCTCAATTGTACCAGCTCCATCAACAACTGCAGCAGCAACAGCAGCCGCAAGGCAATCACCAACATCAACCGGTGCAGCAAAACTCCCACGCAGACTTTCTTCAGCGTAGTGCATTTGGCGCACTTCAAGGACTTGCCGGGTCTCTTGGGGGAGCTTTCTTGAAATCAGAGGGAAACGGCATTGCCGTCAATCAGGGAAGCAGTGCATCGTTCTAAACACTTATTAGGAGGGCAGTATTGCCTTTTTTGGAAAGGTATGTCAGACCAAGGGAACTTGGTACGCCTTACAAAGTAGGAAAACTTTAACTTTTAATTTTGGAACTAGGAACTGGTAAATTGAGGAGTAAATCTGTCTCTTTGTGCTCTAGAAATCTTTATTCTTCACATCTAATCATCCGCTGGGCTGGTAGTCTATCCTTTATGTTGGCTCTTGCCGTAATGGTGTGCTACGAGCCTAGCCCCTACTGCCTGAAATTGTTTCCCCAAGGGCACATTTCTTGCATGATATCTGGCCGTCATTTGTAAATTCCCTCATTTAATCTATTTCTGTTGACCTGATTGAAGGACAACGTTCCAATATGCCATTTAATACTAGTTCCTAATTATTTGAAGACTCAGATAATTTCATTCAAAAGTTTTTGTTGTTTAAGTAAACCTGCGTGGGGGTTTTGTTGAAGAAATGTCAAGTGGAGGAGATGCTGAAGGTCTCATATGCTCCCAGTGTTCGCTACATCTCTGTTGATTTATAACTTGCTGAAATGATGGCTTCCTGTATACAGTATGTGCTTCGCGCGTCATGTAGGATGCCCATCAAGTCATCATTAGGCTCCGTCAGTGGAGTTCGCATGGTCGTTTTTGTGTGGTTCAATTTACTCTACTGGTGTATTGGACATACTAGATTCTTCAGCTCTTCGTAGGTGAAGATGGGAGCCTATCTGGTTCAAATGTGGACAACTTTAGTGGAGTTCATTTTGACTTTCTTTACCCTATCTCCCGAACTGTGACCGTTCTTCCCCGTAGCTGAGTTGTTCTGGCTAGCATGTTCTTCTTATTGGCTCAGACGTTTGATAATATGTTTTCAAGATCAGTGATCCCCGCCAAGGATTTGCTGATTGTCTCTCAACATCTTGTCCTTCTCTTGGTGAAAAATTTTGTCATGCGGGCACAAAAGCATTGACAGACGAGTGCATGCAGCTGTACATGTCATTAGAAGTCTCGTAGTGATCCTTTCTAATAATTTTGGCTTTGCAGGGTGGAGCTCACTGTGCCACTATATTTGAGGAATGTCTCAAAACCTTCACACAACCTCTTGGTTAAATTGTCTAAGCTGGCTGCTGCTGCTGCTGCTGTTTGAACACCCAAGTACAGTTGACACAGGTGCGGTTGACTGGAGAGTCTTTAAGTACCGTAGTCTGTCAAACTCCTATTGTGGGCCTTTATTCGTATCTCCCGTTATCTCCTGGTAGTTTGGAAGATGCGAAGTACGAGGCAGGCACAGACGTACGAACTGTAAAATGCGTTCACATCGAGATAGCCATAGATCTGCGAGGTCATACTCCGATAAAACGCCGTAAAGACGTATTGTTTACTTCCGACGAGGCACGGTTGGGCGAAAGTGAGATGGACCGATTCCCCAGCGAATCCAGCTCAGCTGCCGTTACAGCTGCAGTATGAAGCACTCTGATCCTCAAGTCTGAGAGGATAAGTGCTGGAACAGACTACGTCCTAGTAAGAACACCTTGTTAAGAGAAGGAAAACTCATTGGACAATGCAGCAGCTTGAGCGATGAGGAAAGTTTCGAAAACCTTGTGTCAGCTCCAAACTGTTTTTTGATGCTTTTACAATCTGCGAGAGTTTTATTCACCAGCAACATCCGGGGGGCTCTGTGGGTGAAGCTGCCTCGCGGTTCTGCATTCTCGGTCATACTCTCTATCTCGAACTTGATACATGCTGCACTGAAGGCAGAGTCCAGTGGTCGACAGCAACGCCTCAGAACCTCAAACTCCTCGGTGGAGTTTCACTGTTACTTACATTACAACCTCTTGAAGGGGAATCGCTTTTCCGTTACGTACCGTCAACCAACCTGGACAATTACGAGGACTTACACGAGCTACCACAGGTAAACCGTCAGAGAACGGGCGAAGCCACTGTACGATATCAACGAGTGCCACCGCACGTATTGTCCTGCCAATCAGTGACATTTTCAAGTATCGTTGTTTTGCGAAGTTGTCACTTGTCTCGGGATATTCCCTTGTGACCACCAAACAAACCTGTTCGACTTGGAGTTCTTCGCTTACCTGTGGTGGTCGAGGGTGGTAAATTTTAGTTTCGCAAGATATCTGAGAAAGTCAGGGTACGCTGTGACCTGAGCATCTCTAAGGTATTGATGCAATTTTTCTGTCTCAGTATCGAGGGAAATAGTTCCTCCCAATTAGTTATTAAGCATGTTCGTAGACATCAGTTCTAAATGCACCTGATGCATTCAACTGCCAGCTTATCGAGAATGACAGCTCAGGTTTTCTTCATTCTTGGACATAAATGCCCGCCTCATTAATTTGGAGGAACTCACTTATAATCAACTTGATAATTTTCTCTCAGTCCTAATAGTGGGCCCCACCATTTATTGGAATAGCTACTTTCGATGGTACTTTTGATCACGTCATTGTTTCAAGGAAAATAGATGGCTTGCTTTTCAGACTGAGCGTCAACGGAGAGAATCTGACGGAACCGAAACGAAAGCCAAATTGCTTAATGCACTGACCTCTGACTTTTGTATGAGTTCAAATGAAACGATGTTAGTACAGAAAAGGTTCTAGAAGGTTCACGCACTACTGCTGGATATGAAGCAGAAGCATCTCCATCACTGTCGATATTATTCAAATCTATCATTGACACACACTTGTTACGGTAGTGAAACGTTGAGAACGATGTTCAGGTCAATATCTGAACACTTCTTGCGTACAGTCCGCGTGCAATATGTCCATGTTACATGTCTGGATCCCATATAAACTGAGCTGACAGGCTCTCCAAGTGCTTCGACCCAGTTGTAAGGCTGCGACCAAGTCCTACGCCGAGTCTGAAGGCTGGGCCCGACTCAGGCCAGACCTGGTGTGATGTGATTAGCGGCGATGGTTCCCTTTAGACAGGGGACAATAGAGTGGTTGTAATGAGTCTAGAAGGAATTTTTCTTGTCAGGTATATGCGCTTAAGTACTCTAAGATGTTTTAGATGTTATTTCCTCTTCGCCTTCGACCGATTTTGTTCTTCCTAGATTGACAACCCAAAATGCGAATCTTTCCAGATGCTTACAATTAGTCAGTGTCTTTCACCTCGGTCATTGTCCTCTTACGGTACATTTCTGAAGATAGAACGCTGTAGTCATTGGGAATGTGAGCAATTCTCTAGAACGAAAAATGTGCTAACGAAGTGTTGCCCTATCTCTTTGTATCTTTTGTTGTGCTCCATCCTTCAGCGCCAAACACTTCCTGCGTGGTAAGGAATTCTCCCTTGACAGCCGTTGATTTACTAAATTTCTTCAATTCTGGGCAGTCAGCCACCTCCAAGCCTGACGGACATACCACCAGCCGCAGGTCCTCATTTCGAGAATGATTCTCCTCGGCTGGCCTGCACCTGTTGAGGGGAATGCTTGAATGATCACGTCTCCGGACAATTTTCTGAAACTCAATAATGACAGTATTTTGTAATGAGATTGAATTTCTTTTGTGCATGGATAAGACTGTGGTTTCAATGACCTCTGGAAGCGCAACCTTGCAACGTATCTTTTGTTGCAGCATTGCATTGCTTCCACCGGATGTCTAAAAGTCTACGATGACAAGCTTAGTCTAGGTTATGACCATAGGACCCAACAGTCGAGGTTACCCGCTAGGGTTCTTCCCCGTTCGGCTTGTTGGAGGTTCCCGTTCGCGATTAAATTTTGTCATTTATAAGGTATGGATGAAGAATAATTTTTCTTAGTAACAGAGGAGCATGAGACAAGATCTGGATGGCAAAAATTCATTCAAAGAATTCACCGATATCCAAGTTAATTTGACGGGAATGTTCCAAAAAAATTACTTCATGTTGCCATGTTAGGAAAATGAAACCATTAATATAGCAGAAACGATCGGAAGGCCCCATCCTATACAAAAGGTACATATGGCCCCGAGTGTATCCCAGGTAATGGGCATTTTAAGCTCTAATAAAGGAACCCCACCACTTTTTTCAACATGCTCACCTCATCCGTGTATACTTATATTTGTGGAAAAATCCAATTACCGCCAGAGTCATCCACACGCAACGGTCCTCTTCAGTGCTATGTCTTTAGAGCAATTAGATATGAATTAGCCAAATCATAGACAAGATGGTTTGTTTCAAGATTAAAGAGTCTGTTTGTTTCCCATTTCTGTACATTTCTAGTAAGGCTGGAAATGTACGTCATTCAGAGTCCATTCACAGTCACACAGTGTACGGACAAACGATGAAAATATCTCAAACATGATACAGCAGGTACGTGTGGAGTGGGTTCCAAGGCAAGGTATGAGAAATTGGGCGAGATATAAGATTTCGTGGTTTGAGCTCAAAGAGCATTGGCCTTCACTTGGTTGTATTCCTTGTGACGGGTCGATGGGGTCTTCCATCTTACTTCCTGTATTACTTGGAATCCCTTTATCGAAGTCTTGAAATAAAAGAGAATGAATAAATTCCATGGAGTAAGAGGAAATAATCTAAACTAAACCCTGAACCCTACAATACATCATTCCCCGGTGAGAACAAAATGTACAGAGGGATACCATCAAGTAATAGAATGGTGAAAGTTAAGTTCAAGATATGGCTAGATCCAATAATAACATCACGTTGAGAAACTTATTCTCTTCCAACTAAAATATGTTAAACATCTAGGTTAAACCATATGTATATAACAAATCATCATTGAAACGGACAGCTCAAGGTGTTGTCTCATTAAAATAATGATTGTATGTTGCTTGGAATATTTTATAGTATATACTCAAGAGATGACTATCTAATGTAGCCTAGTGAGTAGACTCTTGTCCAATATTTCACGAAGTTCAAGGATAAAATAACAAAATACGTGATCTCTCTACATATACTTGACAACTTTTGTACATTGCTACCAATCCAGTTCCGATTATCTTTGAGTGCAGGCAACCATGACTTTCAAGACAATGTCATGTGGGCAGACTTGTGATCAAAATGTGTACATTATTAATTGGGTCTCCCAAACGTAGTTAGAGAATATCTGGATTTAATTTATCTTTACTTGCTATGTATACCACTTTAATGTAGAACTTTTTAAAGCCATTTCCGGCCTATCGGTCTTTCGGAAACTCCACACTTCTTTCTACAATTGCTTACTGTGGTCAAGTGCTGCGTACCTTCTCCCTCAGCCAAATGGTGGCTTCTGCTATGAGAAATTCCTGAAAGTACAGTACTATCCTTAGAAGCAAGGCTTATATCCAGCTTTTCACCTTAACAATTACCAAATCATGTAAGAAATTTTTTCATTCAAATGAACATCTTGTCATCCATACGATGTAAAAAATAATGGCACATTCAGATATATAATGAATATGGATGTATCGATCCAATGCGAAATTTTACCATTCTACAAAAATTAGAGGATGAAAAAATGACATTTAAAAAATAACTCAAAGCATGTTACAACCAAGCTTTATATGTCATAGTGTTTGTATCAAGCTTTTTCTGTTAACATAGTAGGTTATATCTTATCTTCCATCCAAAACCCTCTCACATAACTAGAGGACGGACACATTTGTAATCAAAAATAGGAATGATAACAGATGTGACTAGGGTGAGAAACTATCAAAAAAATCTTCAGATATAATTACTTCATAGATAGTTGATGTGGTGAAGAGAAAAAAATTGATAAAATCGCTCCATGAATTTTTTTGAGGGTGTGAATTCATCTTGTAAATACTTTTATAGGTTTCTCACTCATTTAAAATGTATTTGTTTCTTATATCGAAAGAATGACGTTCGAATGATATCATGTTGTCTGTGCTTGTCAAATTCACTACCGTCTTCACGCCGCGCAGATTTCATTATTCGTATTTAACCGCGTAATGGTTGATCATGATGACATTCAAACTGATATTTTGCAATGCCCAATGAGATGGCAACCAAGCGAAGGGCTCATGATCAGGAGTTAAAGATGAGGCATACCATCATGAGGGAAATCTTGAAAATCATGAACATTCCTATACAAGTCTTGACGGGGTCTTGCCATCCCTTTTCGTCATTTTCTTTTCTGCAGCTTTTATCTTTTCCTACAGAAGTCACACCATGTTCTTTCATGAACTCAGTCAGCGCCATGAGCTAACAATAGGGTCTTAAAGGACTTGTCAGGACAAAGCAATGAATCCATCGAATGATATTTACCACACGCCCGAGGGTCATCCAGCGATCCTCCTCATGCTTTGTTTGACTAAGAAGAAGTCTAGCTTCAAGACTAAATCTTGCGCTAGGTGACAAGTGATCAATATGTTCATATTATCAAGCTATCAAGTGCTGGACTCCATGTACTCATTGAGCGACCGATACAGGACATCCGTCGCTAACGTAGTCTCAAGCTGCTGCGCATGAGAATTTCGGAGTCCTCGTTGATTTTCTGATTAACACTAGAGTACAATCATTACGAGGACATCGTCCAACTACATCATTGTTGGAGATTCGTCTGCCTGATTCGTTTCTTACAGGAACAAGTTCAAGAGCCATCCAGTTTCCAACACTGTCTGGTTATGGGAAAGGCTTTTCCTAATGCATACTGGGATTGGAAGGTACTGCCTTCATATATTGCTGGCCAAGTATCTGGTGTTGCCAATTCATGCGCGTCCATGAACAATGGTTAAAACTGAGCGATTTACGTGCGGTTGGATTCTTAGACGAGTTTATAATCATTCCTCATACAATCTACTGAAGACCAGTTAATTGGTCACCGGAATGATCTTGTCATTGAATCCGGATATAAGTTCCCTGAACCAAACTTGACAACCAAGTCATGGATGATTCCTACCGCGACACAAAGGGTGCTGTTGAAAGAACGAGTTCTGTACAATAAACAAACTGTGTCCGGAGACAGTCAACGATTTTCAACAGTCGTTGAGTGCACCTAAACGTGTCTCTACTCTATTCGCAACTTCAACTGCTGACGTGCGTGGCATGCAATCGCAAAGTATACGGTGCTGTGCCTCGCCCGCGAAAGTAGCCGCGTCGCCCTGCAATCGACGCGCGATGATATCTCAGTCAAGCTTAAACTAATATATCCAAACCATTTCGTGACTGTCTCTTAACACGACCCGCCTTATTCCTGGCAGCAGGACCGGTGCCAAGACTTCTCGTTAGATTATATTCGATGAGTTTGTGAGCTTTTCTGCATTTCGGTACAGAAATAGAGCGTTTTCGATTTTGAAGGTAAGCTCCACTCCATCTTCATTGGAGAAATTTTAAGCCAACTGAAATGCGATCATACGACCCCTAATAATGTCCATGAGTTGTATCCTTTCGATTAATGCCGAAAGGGGACACCTCCTCGCCCACGAATACGCTTCTTGGAGTTGGACCATCGATTTCAAGGAACGAAATGAACGATCAAAAGCTCAAAGTTCAAAAGTAAATTTGCTTAAGCATTCTAACCTGTATCTCGCTTTGGCGCCGAACCTTGCGATAGTAGAAACGTAAAGCGACGACAAGAACGATCTTTTGCGAGCATCCACCGGTCCCCGGTGGACATGTCACCTGGAAGTCTCAGTTGAAGCTGCTCATCTATAAATGTTAGTTCTAGAAGAGGCCAAAATTCCTCAACTCACAATTTAAACAAGGTAACATTTAAACAGGGTCCATCTGTTATGCGCAGGTGAGTCGGCAGGATTGAATGCGTAAAAGCGGCATGGTTGGAATGAGGACGGATTGACAGCGAACATTTGGTCGCGTTGATCTACACCTATAAGCTCCTCGGCTCTTCGATTTGCGGAGTAGTGCACGTTGTTGAAGTAATTAGTGTTCTGGTAAGTCGGGATTGCAGCTGTGGCAGGACGCAAAGTCCGTTTTCAAGTGTTTGTGGTGGTAGTGGCCTTCGTCTTTGCGTCTACTTGTGCTATCGCACACACTTCTTGGTGTTCTGCAGAGGAGGAAACGACCCTTTCTGCGATGTCTCCCCTGTCACAAGCCCTGCAGGCTACATTTGGTGGTGGATGCTTCTGGAGTGTAGAACTGGCTTTCCAACGTATTCCCGGTGTAATCAAGGTGCGTTGTGGTCATGTGCCATTGTTTGAGACATGAGATCTGTTTGAGAGGTATCCGTGCTTGCTGATAGCAATCGTATGATATGTCATTACTCTGATTTTATGAAAGAGATTCCGTTTTAAGTTACTGATGTGTGACACACTTGGTAAGTAATCGAGGCAATTGAACTGCGAAGGATGATATCTTCTCATCAGAGTGTTCGATTTAGATCTCAATTCGATCAGTGTCGTCCTTGTCTGGGTATTAGGGCTTTGCTAGCTTTCCATGATCAGATGCATTTTAGGAGTGATGATTTTGTCTTTTATAATATACATAGCATCATGCGGACCGAGTACGTGTATTGCTGCAAATGTTTTGACCGTGCGAGGATTATTGGTCGACGATAGGGTTGGTGTTTATATTGTGTTGTGATCATGTCGCAGACTGCTGTAGGGTATACCCAAGGTCATACTGAAAACCCTACGTACGAGCAAGTGTGTACCGGGAGGACTGGGCACGTGGAAGCTGTACTTGTAGATTACAATCCCAGTGAGCTTTCGTATGAGCAACTTTTGGATGTATTTTGGAAGAAGCACGATCCCACGCAATTCAATCGCCAGGTAATTCACTCTGTATTTTTTGTTAACTCTTGAATAACCAAGTCTATAAAGTTCTCGTAATATTATTCTGTCAAACATAAGCAAGCCACCTATCTATGTTACTCTATCGTGGTTCTTCGACTTGATACTAAACTGGGGGTTGGGATCTGCAGGGAAATGACGTAGGTACACAGTACCGATCAGGCATATACTATCATTCACCAGAGCAGGAGACAATAGCTAAGGATTCACTGAAAGAGATGGAAGCAAAATTAGGCAAAAAGATTGCAACCGAGGTACTTCCTGCAAAGACGTTTTACATGGCTGAAGATTATCACCAACAGTACCTGGAGAAGGGTGGTAGAGGCGGGAATAAGCAGTCTGCAAGGAAAGGATGTAACGACCCAATCAGATGTTATGGTTAGACCCTGAGTCGTCACTTGAGCTTCAGGTGTTTTGAATCTCGACAAGGGTTTGTGATGTGAGAACTTTGTACAGTATGCAATATACATAGTTTATATACTTCACTTTCACTCGACTATTTTCTGTGAACGCTTGAGGATTGTTTTCCGCGTTAACGTGATTACTGATAAATGTGATGGAAAAGGTATGGGACACCAGACAACTGATTCTACTTAGGTTTGGGAACATAGGAAGACTGCTGCTATTAGGTTTACGGCGAGTCTTTTTATATGTTAGTGGCCGGGAGTGCTTAGTCGTAACCTGCTACCTGGTCTAACCAATTCGCGCGCCACACTGTCATCTACAAGAGTGTGGAGGTCTCACCTGGAAAAAAGCAGGGACATTAGTTCAATATATCAATGTCCGTGCGTTTGATGCTCGAATGACTTCCATTTGACTTTGCAATTGATGGCCGTAGTATATAGGTGTGATCGCATAGTAGTATCATGAAAGGCTCTCTCTGAACGCTTTTAACTCACAAGTTCTACGTAAGGTTCTCCTAAGTTTCTAAGAACCATTTACTTCACAAGTCATTATATTTAGCCAGAACTCACTATACCCTAGGCTGTAAACATTTAGGGGCCTGGAGACAAAGATTGGTATACTTCATATGGTATGAAGTCGAATTTTAGATATCCCCTCAAAAATATGTGCTTTCAACCAAGCTGTCATGTGACCATGAAGAATTTTTATTGTAAACTGATTTCAAGACACGTAACGTGTCACGTGCTTCTCCGATATCAGCGCGCAGAATGCTGGAATAGTAATTCCGTAAATCATTTATTGTTAATACTTCCTCTTGGAGAATCTCTTTTGAGGAACTTTTTCAAGATTGTGATCAGTAACTACCATATTTGTTCCAGAAAGAAATATTATTTATATTAATATGTCTATCCTGTCAATAACCAAAAACTATCTCTTCTCACTAAACATATTATTCAAATTCAATACAATTTGTCATTAACGTTAATTTTAATCCACATTATGTAACGCCTTATCTCTTCAATTACAAATATATAAATCTTAATCTTTCACGTACTATCAAAAATAAAACTTTACTCACTTATGAACAACACTCTAACCAAACTTCCTTTGAGCTTTCAACTATCATATCATTCTTTAACTATATCTCATTTGCGTCAAAATATACTTGAATTAATTCTTAATTTTTGAAAAATTATCTAAGAGACTGTATTTAAATTGAAGATTGTATTGTATGAATGAAACTATTAAAATTCCATATTTAATATTTTTTTTTCTTCAATGTGTATATATTTAGAAATGCTCTGACACAAAATATTTGAAGCATTATCAAATTTTTTAAATAGAATTGTAGTATTATTTCACAATATTTTGGGAAGAGTAATATATATCTTAAATATTTGCAATTCGATTTAGCAAAGTGGAAATTTATTTTTTTCATAGATGTCATAGGATTAATAATAATGGGAAATTCAAATTATCAGGAAAAAAATCAACATCATACACTATGTGAATTTAAATTTTTTTGAGATTAAAGACCTTGAAAAACTTTGTACTTTTAGATTTGAATGATAGAGAACAAATTTAATTGTATAGAGTATGAGATTGATTTCAATTTGGATTGAACTCTGTACATAATTATTTAATTTCTATATCTTTCTATATTGAATCACAATTCAAAATTTTTCTATGATATTTAAAATGGAAAAATTTGTAAATAAATAATAACAACAAATTTCGTATTACGTATCTATTATTTTAATTATAATTCATAATAATCCCTATAGCTAAATTGAACTTTTAGATAGATCAAAATGATCACCTTCTAAATTTATCAAATCTATCTTTTGAAATTATCTATCAAAAGAATTTCAAAATTGAATTAGTCATTATTGTGTTCCAATAAAGAGTAATATATCAAAGATAGAATAAAATTAGTAAGAAAACATAGAAAAATGTTCCAATTTAGATTAGTATATTGATCCAACTTCTATACGCTAGAAAAATTATAATGTACTCTAGCATATATCACACTTCAATTTATATAATCAAAAATTTTCTCATTTTAAAAGAGCTAAATAATCATATATATTTCTTTTTATGGAAGTACCACAATTTTATCATTTATCAAAGTTTTGAGTTTTTTTTCTAATTTCTTACAATTTTATATTTGACAAGATTTTTCTACATAAATTAGTACACATCTAATATTATGATTCTTTTTATATTTTACATTTCAATTGGTGTATTAATAATGAAAATTATTAGCAATTTACATCAATTACAGCTAGAATGATATCTTTTAAAAATATTGAATGAAAGTTTTTCCACACATCTAAAGATGCTTTTATTATTGAAACATGTTGAAAAGTATTGTGATTATAAAATTAATGTTGATAAACATGAAGAACAGCAATTCAAATCTAAACCATTTGTAAATTCAAATCAATCTATTTATACTTTAACCAACACTCATAAGAAAAACTAGCTAAGTGTCCAAGCAAAGTATCATTTTTTGGATTCATATGCATAATTTTATCTATCATGTTTTAATATTCATTCAATTTACACTCTTATGGTTAAAAATATAAAAGATAATCAATTTTTTAACTCGATTATTAATATAAACATTTATAAATAGTTAAAAAGTTATTTTGACATGGACTGACTACCAACTATTTAACTACCAAAAATGATCATTCTTATTTATCTATACATTCAAGTTCATTTGACTTACACACATTTTAATAATAACAAATATATATTATAAATCTATACATAATCTTTTCTACTATTGAATTTATTTAAAAATCATATTATCATATTTATACATACTTTTTTATTTTATTATTAACGATATTAAATATATATTTTAAAAAAATGTATAAATTAATTTTGATGTAATTATATATTTTTATTTTTTTTAATAAACAGATAAAATTAATAAAAATAATATTTTCAAATATCATGAAAATAATTTCTTAAATTATTTTGAATAAATGAAATTTATTTTATTTTTTTCATATTTCATCAATAAGCTTTTAAAAAATTGAATATTGGAAAAAGAAATAATTTATTTGAAGACAAATAATAAATTTGTACATTTTCAAAATTAAAACACAAACATTATATTGAATGAGTATAATTTTTTGGAATAAAAGTTGAATGTATCTTATAAACATGTTGATTTCTTATCATAATAATAAATTTTATATTAATATTGATTTTATTTGCATCTTTTTTATACATTTCATCAATTGATGCAATAACTAATCAATGCATTTGTACAATTCGTTGGACGTATATATTAGCTATGAATCATAATTGATATATTCTTCATACTAGCGAATTGATGTATTCGTTTGACTTCAAAAACTTAACAGAATAGTCATGACATGTTGGATATTTCCTGTTGCATTCGATTTATCAATTGTCAATAGCACATCCTATTGTAATGTTAGAATTAGATTTTTTATGTACACTAGGCTGTATTGCTTCTATTTATGTTGTCTTTCTCTTTGTGTATGACATATAGGAGATAACTTCGGTATGTCATTGTTCGATATGTTTGAGAAAGTTATGAGTGCAATATTTTTCGTCTTGGAGTATAAGCTTTTATCAACATGCTCCAATGGTGCGTGGAATATGACAGATTGATCACATGGAATAATGATTTGTGTTTTTAATCAAATCAAACAAGAACATTGTTACTTAATTCAATTTTGATATGATGCACACCAACTCAATTTTGTAATTTGAGCCGTGATTTTTATATATTTCAACGAATAGTTTTACTTTATGTTAATTGTCAGTGTCATCTACGTTAACTATACTATCGAATAATTTAATGAACAAAATGTAATCTAAATGTTCTAAGGTTGTTACGACTCGTTGGTTATCATTGAAAAAAGCGTGACCTTGGTTTTTGACTCATTGTTAATGTATTGTTGAGTTCAGGAATTAAAACATAATTGATTTCAAATCGATTGTCAAGTGATGAATTGCTTTATTTTCACTTATCTCAATTATCAACATTTTGATCAAAGTCTTGTAGCATTCCACATGGTTAATTTCACAACCAGAGTCGCATATTTTAGATTCATTTATTATCATTGATACGCGATATAAATGCAAGTTCAAATCTGAAGTTTGGAATAGGATCAGGGCATCTTCTACCGTAACGATTTTTTAATATAATCGTCAAAGACATTGTTGTACACTTTGTTCAAGGATATGTTTTGTTTACTTTGATGTCATTTGATAGCTTATTAAGCATTGAAAAGAATGTTGTGTTTTGTTTTACAAAAAATTGTATCTATTCTAACTGTAGACATACATGTTATTCGGACTGAAAGATATGGTAAAATTGCTTCGGCAATGTATTAATCACACTTCTTCTTTGCAAATTTGTAAATATGCTTTAATCAAGCTTTGAGTACCTCGTTTGTAAATTTTAATCTTGCATTGAAAAGTTATTCAGCAACAATTACATTGATGCACCAAAACAAGAAAAAAGAAGCTAAGAATTGTTTATAAAAAAGAAGACGTACTCCAAGGAATAGATGATACAATGTGAATATTTGTAGATTTGCATGAAGCATGAGTGACTTTTGAAACTCAAAATTTCAAACTATGTATGTTTGATGAAGGCTTTTGCTAGTGTGTATTTTGATACTACGCGTGTGGAGGGTGATATTTGTTTGTTTAGTTGGAATAAATATAGTACAAATTGTCTTTAATCGTACAGTCACTTGCGGACATCATGTATTATAAACAATTTAAGATTGTGGACAATTTACATATTTGCCATACATAAAAGTTGGCTAATGTACTAATTTATTGATTTATGACAAATTTGGCAATTTCCAAATAACTATGATCTTATAATCAATGGATTTTGCAAAATAATTTTTTTAAATTCTATCTTTTTTTTAATCAAAATCAAAGTTTAGAATCTTGCAATTTTAATTGATATTTAAATAATCATCTTATTTAAATTTATTGAACATGATATATTAAAAAAAAATTGGTTAGATTAACATGAATTATCAAAATTAAACCTAATTTTAGGAAATTATGATTTAAAAAATAATAAAATAACCATATAGTTATGATGAGTACCATAGTATTTTAAACTTTAATTGTATATGATTATTCAAAAACTAAAATATAAATATAATATTTTTTAAATGTTAGAAATGAAAATTTAATATTTTAACAAATCAATATTATTTAGTTAAAATTAGAAGTTAGTTTAAAATAATAATATAAAAGAGAACTAGCAAAAGCTCTTGATGACTATTTAAAATTTTTTCTTTATAAAGGTCTTGATTGTTTTTTGAATCTAATCTACAATGACAAATGATGTATTCAAGAATCGATGTGTGTGTGTTAAATTGGTATTAAAGCAATATGTTTGAACACATCTTGATCAATCTCAAACCATCACTCCAGATAGATTTAAAAGTATTTCTAAAACAACAAAGAGTAGGATGGAATGAATATTTAGTTCTTGTGAAGAATAGGATTTAAAGTTCGAAGCTTTTTGATACTCATATCCAATTTGATTTGCGCATTGAAGTCATTTCATTCTTGTGACAAAATGTTTGATAATCTTGTTTTTTATGGATGCTCGTACACGCTTGTTGT